ATATAACCTATACAATATTATATATATATGCATATACATATATATATATATATATATTTGGAATCACAATATATACAGTGCGTGTATATATACATATATCTGTGTATGTAAAATAAATAAAATAAACAACTAAATAAATAAATAATCAGTTAAATAAACACGTGAATAAATAAATAAAACAAACAAATAAACAAATAAATAAATAAATAAATAATGAATATATAACAAACCTGCATCTCCAACAATGCCGATTGCCAGCCCTGCGGCGAGGGCACTCAAACCCACAGCCAAACCCCCAGCCAAATGCCCAAACCCTGAACGCAAATAAATAGATAAATAAATATTTATTTATTTATATAACATACATTATTTATTTATTTATTTGATTTATCTATTTTATTGTATTTATTTATCTTTAGTCGCTCTAGAAATAAATATTTCCAGCTCTGGAGAGGGAAATGCTCACCGGCATATGCAGAATATACATCAGGTGAACCCACTGCAAACAAACAAACAAATAATAATTAAAACAATAATAAATAATAATAATAATACTAATAAAAATAGTAATAATAAATAACAACGATCACAATAACCACAATAATAAATAAAATAATAATAAACAAATAGTGCAGATTAATTTTTCTCAAAAATATATTAAATGGTGTACACCCCACTTCGGACTGTCAGCAGCAACAAACAAAAACAAACAAAAAAACAAACAAAAAGAAAAAACAAAATGCAGTAATAGAAAAATAAATAAGCAAAAAGCAGCAGCCGGCAAACAACAGCCAAAGAGCAGCAGCAGCAGCAGCAACAGCAGCAACAAAATTAAATTCACAACAGCAAAGCAACAGCATCAAAACAGCAGCAGCATTAACAAAAACCAAAGACCAAAAAAAGAACAAACAAGAGCAACAAGAGCACCGCGAAAACAACAATATTAATAATAACAACAACAATAACAACAACAACAATAATAATAATAAATAATAAATACTAATAGAAATAATAATAACAACAGTAATAATAATAACCATTAATAATAATCAATAATAAAAAATAAGTAATAAGTAATAAGTAATAATAATAAATAATAATAATAATAATAATTAATAATAATAATGATTAGACGCACTAACGGAGGAGATGACGATAGAAATAATTAAACCGTAGATGCCCAAAATACCGGCCATAATAACTGGCAAAATTGAGCGCATAATTAAGTCGGGCCGCATGACACCGACGCTGCTAACTCCAACGCCGCTCTTTGCTGTGCCATATGCTGCCCCCAGATCTGCAACAATTAAATACATAAATAAATAAATAAATACATTAATTAATCAATTAATTTACTAATTAGTTTATTTATTTACTTAGTTGGTGTGTTTGTTTGTTTGTTATTTAACTAGTTAGTCAGCTAAATTGGTTAGTTTGTTTATTTGCTTATTTGGTTGTTTTAGCAGAAGAAGGATGCAACAATTATATACGTAAATTAATTAATTTAAATTGATTAATGCGACCAGAGAGAAAAATAAATAAACTACTAAAAGCCCCGAGTGAAGGCAGAAGGAAAAGAAAAAGAAGAAAAAATAATACGCATGCAGAGATTAAAAATATCATTTGAATATTTAGGCGACTATTTTTCTCTGCTTTTAACTCCAACAACATATATATATATATATATATTGTATATATATATATTGTATATATATATATTGTATATATATATATATATTGGCTAGGGGAAAGAGAATAAAAAGGAACAATAAACAGATCACCAGCAAAGATAAACCGAAAGCCCTTCTCTTTCTCCTCTTCTACACTTTCCCCCCTTTCTATTCTGTGCATGCATGAATGTATGCAGATGCATGCATGCAGATGCATGCATGCAAGCATGCACTCATATTAACATGATGACTGCGCTAATGAACGGCCAATTCAAAACACTACGCAACCTGCTGCAGCTTCTGCTGCTGCTGCTGCTGCTGCTGGTGGTAACACCCTATAACATGAAGCCTCTGTCAGCGAGATGCTGCTGCTGCAGGGTATAAACTGCGCGGATAATCCGCGCATCAGTGGGGGGCTGCAGGGCCCTCTAGCAGGCGCTGATAGGCGAGATTCGAGGAAAAGGGACTAAGAGAGGATTGCAGCAATGCTGGGGTTTAGATACACCAGGAGTTGCTTCAAAGATTAGCAGCTTAGTCAGCAAGAGGTGAGGGGAAGGGAAGCTCAAAGAAGCAGAGACCTACTGGCGAAGACGATGGCTGAGGTAATTCCCATAAACCCAAAGAATACAGAATTTGGGTCGCACTGAAGAAAGGCAGTCCAAAACATTTTCGCGAAAAAAAGAGTTGAGGTGTACACAGACGTGAGGAGTGGCTGGCTTAAGATCAAGAAGAAAAAATGCAATCCAGAGAGGAAAGCTGGGGTCTTTTAAAAGGAATTTTTGTTTTATTTATTATTCTGCTCCTTTTAACTCGATATACCAACAAAAAACAGAGAATTCTACCCATTCAATCTGCACAAGCACTCAGGAGGCGGCGTTGATAACCGCACGACGGCAGCGAAAGCTTTTCTGCATAAACCGACAGACAGGCAGCCCCAGCTGAGGAGATCAGCGTAAAATAATAAAGAAAAAGAGGTTTTATTTTCATTATTTTATCCATTAATCTTTATTTATAATTGCAGAACTCTCACTTCATCTATTCAGAAAAAACAAAGCGAGGCTTAGCGACTACCAATACAACCGCAGCTTTCCACTTTATATCGCCGCATGCGCTGGGGTTTCGTTCGCTAATAAAATTATTATTCTTCCTTTTATCTTTATTTTATTTCTTCTCACCTTATATGATCTCTTTTTATTTCATTTTATCGGATCTCATCTCAAAGACGCAATTCGTTGGTGTTGTGTGCAGTGTTATACACACAGAGAACGGCAGGAAACAGAAACAAGAAATTGAACAAAGCAAACACAGGTATTTATCTTATTATTGATGAAGGGTCTTCTTTTATCAGTACAAACATCAGTACTAAGGAGAAGATTAATTAAACTTTCTAACTCTTTTTTATCTTTCTTTGTTGCGCTTTCGTGGAGAAAATGAATGAAAAAACCAACGCCAGCCACAACGGCGATATAAACAACACCGCAAAAACAAATAAAAATACCCCTACCCTTATCTCTATTCACAACAAAAGCAGCAAAAACATCTCTACGCTGTCATCTTCTCCGTCTCTGCATGCAGAAGATAAATCAATTAACAGCTACTGGGGGCGCGTTTGGTGGTTTTATCGCCGCATTAACCCTCGTTTATTGTTTTATTCAAACAAGGATATTGAAGAGGCTAAGAAGATAGCTGATCTTTATGAGAATAATGCAAACAAAGAACTGCAACAGCTCAAACTAACTCCAGCAGATATATCTGCTGCAATTGAACTAAGAGATGCATCTATCAACCGCAGCAACAACAGCATCCTCCACCCTCTCCTTAGAATGGCCGCATATGCACCCGTTAATATACCCATTTGTGCAGGTAACTCAAAACAACGCGCAGCAGCAGCAACTGCAGCAGCAGCAAATGCAGCAGCAAACGCGGCAGGAAATGCAGCAGCAACTGAAACAGCAGCAGCAACTGAAACAACAGCAGCAACTGAAACAGCGGCAGCAACTGAAACAGCAGCAGCAGCAGCAACCACAGTATCACCAGAGGAGATAGAAGAACTCGCTAGCAGCAGCAGCACCATCCGCAACAGACCCAGCACACCACCTGCAGCAACAACAGCAGCAGCAACAGCAGCACCGGCAGCAGTACCAGCAGCAGCATCAGCAACATCAGAAGCAGCATCAGCAAGAGCAGCATCAGCAACAGCAGCATCAGCAGCATCAGCAACAACAGCAGCAGCAGCATGAACAGCAGCATCAGCAGCAGCAGCAGCAGCAGGAGGTTGCGTGCATGCATGCATGTTGTGTGCTGTTAGGTTTGTTATTGAGTGCCCCCACAACTTTAAACGCCGTCTTCTGGCAGTGGATTAATCAAACGTATAACGCGGCCTTCAACTATGCAAACGGAAACCAACCAACAGATCAGCAGCAGAAGCAGCAGCAGCAGCAAGATATCATCAAAGGCTATAGGCAAGCATTTCTTTCTTTACCTTCTTCGCTCTACTTTAAACCCAGACTCCAACTCAACAGTTTAGGGTTTAGGGTTTAGGGTTTAGGGTTTTCTGTACAGTTCAGTTGGTTCGATGTCCTAGCAGCGAATGATTTGGTGTTGCTGTGAGTTCATCAGTGCCCCTGCATCTCTGCTGCTGCTGCTGCTGCTGCTGTTGCTGCAGTTCTGCTGTTGCGGTGTCTGTGGGGTTTGCTGTGGGGTTAAACGCGTGGGTGAAGCGGATGAAGGCGGGGACAGTGCTGCAGCGTTTGCTGCTGGGGTCTGTTCCGTTTGCTGCTGTAGCAGCAGCAAATGTAGCTAACGTCTTCCTAATGAGAGGAAGTGAATGCTTTAATGTGAGTAGCAGCACCAACAGCAGCTGCAGCAGCAACAGCAGCAGCAACAACAACAACAGCAGAAAAGAGCAGCGGCAGAAGCACCAGCAACAGGAGCAGCACCGAACAGCAGCACTTATTCTATTTGTGAAAGTTCATTGCCTTCTCCAATGTATAGAAGACAAGCTAGTATATCATATATATATAATGCATTAATAATCATTGTGCTGAGGTGTATGTACACTTCACAGGGAATCCCCGTGTACACCCCAGACGGCCGTCTTCTCGGAATATCAAAGCGCGCGGGCGTCGAAGCCGTGTTACAAACTGCAGTCTCGAGGGTTGGTGAGTGAAGAGAGATAAGACAATAAATAAATAAATATATATATATATTTATATGTGTGTATATATATCTGCTGTGCCTGCCTTTGTCTGTCTTTATGTTTGTTTGTCTGTCTTTATGTTTGTCTATATTTGTTTATGTGGATATTTGTTGATGTGTTAAATAAACAAAAGAGAAATGTCAGTACAAACAAACGTAAACAGCAATAAAAAAGACAACAAAAGCAACAGCAGCAACACCTGCACCTGCAGCAGCAGCAGCAGCACCAGCAGCAGCAGCAGCACCAGCAGCTGCAGCAGCAGCAGCACCAGCACCAGAAGCAGCAGCAAGTGTGTTTAGTGTGGGGCTGTCTTCTGTGTTGTTCAGTGCTGCCGGTGCCTGTCTTACTTTTGCCCAGCCCTTTGATATCTTTTAGCGGTTGGCTGTTTCCTTTCCTTCTAAGGCATTCATTTTTAAAGGTGAGGAGTACAATACATTATCTTTGCATTTGTTTATATCAGTTGTTATTTTACTCTTTTTCATTTTCTTAGTCCTTCTGTGTTGCTGCTGGCTGTCTTAAGGATATAGGGGTGCTGCTGTGCATTTTAAATAATTTCTCTCTCTCTCTCTCTCTCTCTCTCTATATATATATATATATACATATATATATATCTTTGTCTCTCTCTCTCTCATTCTATGGTGCATGCAAATAACTTTGATTTTTTCAGGTTTGCACTCAGCTGTCGATTATCTACGGGTGTTTAAACCTGGGGCTTCCTCTTGCCTTTGGTGTCTTTCCTCCCGTAGCAAAACTGCGGGTTGATAAGCTCGAGCCGGAGTATAGGAATATGATAGATGAAGACGGGGGTAGAATAACTTACGTTGTCTTTAATAAAGGAATATAAGTATATAATTATATCTTTGCTAAGAGACATAATTATATATATGCGTCGATGTATGTATACCGCTTATATCTGGTTTTCAAACAGATTAATGCTTCTATTCATTTTGCTGTATTTACAAAGCAGTGACTTCTAAAGGCAGTATGGCTTCCCCTTGTTGTTTTCTTTAGGGAGGCTCCCGCGTCGTCTGCTGTATGCTTGTGGAATTAGTTACGTATTGCTGCTGCTGCCGCTGCTGCTGCTGCAGCTGCTGCCGCTGTTCGCGGTATACAGGTATATTTAGATAGAATATTTGCTGTGTTTGTTTACTCCTGTTCCTGCTGCAAGTTGTGTTTGTCGATAGACAGAATTAATGCCCAACTCCGCTGGGTTTGCAGGTTTCGAGTTTGTGAGAGATAAATATTCCCTCATGCTGCTTAATACAGTTAAAGGCAGATCAATATACAGGTTAAAACTTTCTCTATCGAGAGTGCATGCATTGCGTCTCAAGAAGAGATGAAAAGAAGTACAACAACCCCACCAAAAAGGTGGCGGTGACTTTCTTTGAACTTCTTTTTTTTTTCTGTAAAGAGATTATGCGGAGGCTGCAAGCGGGGGGTTAAGTGATTGATTTGTTTTTTATTTAAGTTAGTAGCAACATTCGATGGTATTAGTAGAAATTAAACTCATTTTAATAGTGTTCTTAAAGGCAGATGCATCAGACTTGAGGAATAGAGGGAGGAAAACAGACTTCTTACTGCGCCCCAGTAAATGAGCTTCTTACACTTATAATATATAAATATTATAAATATTTATGTATTATATTAGATATACTTATTTAATATAGATAATGTGTATTATATTTATTTATATAAAGTACATACTTATGTATATATATATATATATATATATACATTATCTATGTACTATATATATCTACTGAAAAACGAAGGTCTTAATCTGTTTTTACACTTTAATTAACTTCAGCGCTAAATATACACCAAAGAAAAACAAAAATATAAAGCATATACCTATAACAAGCCGTAACAAACAGCGGATTGATTCACTTCCTTGTCTTTTGCAATGACTTCGCTCTGCGCACATTCAAAAGCCTAACACCCGACCGCATCTGCTTTTCTTTTCTCTCACTATATATGCATTTATTGAATGGAAGACGACTTAATAAACTCCGGCGCCTGTTTTTTTATCTTCATTTTCACCTTCATATATCACAACATATCGCCCAGCACTGTCGCTAATGCCCCTCCTTTTCTTTACAAAGCAATTCATATATTTAAATTCAACAGAAATCGATGCATGCGAGTTGGCTGCGGTTCTCGGTGCGACAAGCTCGCTACACCCGTTTAGAAGAAATACTTAATAAGAAAAAAACTAACTTAGGTAAAGTAAAACCTTTAACTTAGTTGAGGCTTAGTGAAGGGAGTTGAGGTGTATTGCCATACAGCTAAACAGAGACAGTATGAAGGGTGAGACGCAAAAATAATTGAGGCAGTAGAAAATCATTGAGACGAATGCAATAAACAGATTGTTGAGAAGAACAAACAACGCGTAGCTATAAATAAATATTCGAGAGAACATCGGACGGAGATATTCACATTTATGGAGATATTTATTGCATATATTTCGAGGGTCTTAACATTTGTTAGTATTTTTTTACACCTATGTTTTTGTTGCACTCTGTCTGTTTGTCTGGAGACAAAGAGAGATGTGATGATGGGAACGGAAGGGCGGCGAGCCTTTAAGACAAGTGAGGGATGTGCTGCAGCCATGATGGGTGTTCTTTATTCAACATTGACTTAAATATACCCATGCAAACAAAGCTAGAAAATATATCGCTAATGCACAACAACATATAATGCGGGTTCTTCTTCCTTTTCTACTTGCTGCCCAACTGCTGCTGCCTTAGACCATCAGCAGCACCGGCTGGCGTGCTGGGCCAGAGGAGGGAGGCGGGAGGGCGTAGGGATGCAGTGTATGGTTGTCTGTCTTTTGTTTGTTTGAATTATTTTAGAATTCAGTTTATTTAGATTTATTAAACATATTGTAGAGCCTTTCACTTCTCAGCAATCTGCCTCTACTCCCTCGGATGCATCATGGGATCGCGTTTTCAACAACCGCCGGTCACCACTGGCCATCATACAACTCATAACCATCTGGGCCTCAGGCAAGACGTTGCTCATCATTATAGTTCATCTTTCGATGAAGATACAGACGAAGAAATATTTGACGGGCCTCTTCATCAATACGAGGACGCATTCCCAGGCGATCCTGCGTTGCAGATGCGCCCCGCACTAGCAGAAGCCGGCGGCCCCAGGGTGTATTACGCGTCCCAGAACATAGGGGGAAGTAGTAGCAGAAACAACTTCATTGGGGCCTCTTCTATTAATGCAGCAGGTCGGGAGGCTTCTCACTTAACGGCTTCCAATTCGAATCGGCTTGCTGAAGGACAGTCACGCAGTAGAGGGCCCCCTCAGTTTGGCGAACGTAGGGGAGATGCTGACGAAAATCAAGATAAATGTTGTCTCGGGGAAGTCCATCATGATGGAGAAGTATCGGCTTCTCAGCAGAGGGAAGAAACACAGGATTCAAGAGGTCCGTCGTTCGTCGCTGTAGACGTGGGGGGGAAGAAGCCCCGAAAACTTGAAGGTTTGCCGACTGTTTGTGCAGAAAATACTTTTTTAAAGTCTGCCAGAAGAAACAACAATAAATGGTCGAAATTATACAATGAAAATCCAAACGAGGCGGCTCAAATAGCGGAGGAAGCTTTCTCTAAAGTCAAATTCTGGAGAGAAGTCTTCTCCGCATTGACCGGAATGCACGGGGTGTACGTACTGGCGAACTTCGCATTCGACAATCCTGCCGGCGGCATCTGTTCACTTTTTTGTTTCTTATGTTCTGCATTTGCGCAAGTTGATCGTAGAGCACCTTCTTACTTCTTGACTGCTTTACTTTCGTTTTGTTTCGGAATTGTTGTTGCCGTTTCCGTCGGCACGCCTGTTCGTGGTTTCGAAGCTTTTTCAAACAATCTTCTCTTGAGACGGATCTGCATCACTCAGGCATGTTTACTCCTTCTTGCTACTCCTGTCGCGATCCTCGTCGCCTTACGGATCATCGAGCTCCACAGCTTCCTCCGAGAACCTGGTGTTTTAATACCCTTAGATTGCACAGAGGAAACGGCGGAAGAAAACACGCAAAAGAACACTCAAGAAACCTCATCAGAAACCTCGGAACATACAAATTACGATCCTAACACACGTAAAGAACCCACAGCATCCGGTAGCCAAGATGATGCAAATTCACAGCGCAGCCCATCATTTGAGGGCAACGACGCCACCACCTAACATTCGACGACACAGATTTATTCGTACGCGTATTTCTAATTTGTTTTTTTTTTCTCTAACGTTGACTCCTCTACTCTCAAACGTAGACTACCACTTCAGCGTATTGTTCCCGTCTGCCTACTAGCGCCTCCCCACACCACTAGAATATTCAGTCCGATACAGAGCTGAGTCGCAAGAAAAGATTTCGTCAGTCCGCCCTAATCTGCACTCTAAGCAAATCAACCCCCCGGCCGACAGCAACGGCCCCTAACAACTAAAACCATACGCGTTCCATGGAAAGCGCCGCCAGAGAAGACATACACTGCTTTGCGCGTCTGGCAAAAAGTATAGCAAAAAAGCGAACTCAAATCTAGGGCGCACTGAGAGAAAGCAGGGAAATGATTATCTAAGGGGGAAGCTGCTTCGTGTATAGAAATGCGGTACATGTGTGCCATATATAACAAATGGAAGAAAAGAGGCGATTCGAAAAGGCGGGTCTGGTGGCAGTGCCACTGGGACGCCACAGTTGAGTTTGTGTTCGCTGTCAAGAAAGTTGATAGCTTTGAATCCAACAGACCTCCGAGACGCCTCGATGGGAGTCTATGAAGAGGGAGGGAGGGTAAAAGTGCGGCTAAAGCCGCGTTTCAAGGTGTATTATACATGCCATGCATAGACATGAATAAACAATGCACGAGAACTATAAGTTTATGCAAGAGATCCGAGGTATTCAGCAACGCCCTCTGCTGAGGGTTTCATTGCCTTTTCTCCTTTCTGCCAGTTGGCTGGGCAGACGTCTCCGTACTTCTCGTGGTGTTGGAGGGCGTCAACAACGCGTAGGGCTTCAGGTACCGACCGTCCGATTGCAAGGCTGTTGACGAGAGCATGCTGAACGATGCCTTCTTTGTCGATGAGGAATAAACCTCTGAGGGCCATGCCGTCAGGTAGGAGAACCCCAAAGGCTCTTGCGACTTCTTTCTTAACGTCTGCAAGAAGAGGGATTCTGACGGGGCCGATGCCTCCGTTTTTTAGCTCTTGAGAGCGCCAAGCATGGTGAGTGAACTTTGAGTCAATGGAGCAGCCTAAGACCTGCACATTTCTTGCCTCGAACTCGTCTACTGCTTTGCTGAAAGCGACGATCTCAGAGGGGCATACGAAGGTGAAATCAAAAGGATAGAAAAACAACAAGACGTACTTCTTGCCTATAAAGCGACTCAGCGTAATCGTGCTGAACTCTCCATTAGGCATCACCGCCTCGCAAGTGAAATCCGGTGCCTTCTGACCGACGAGGGCTGCCATTTTCTTGTCTGCGAGTATTAAACGGAAATAAAACACGAAAAATGTCTTTATAAACAAAAAAAAACAACTCTTTACAATTAATCAACTGCACACACCACTATAATTTATATATGCCGCTTGAGAACATGCGGGGGTCGTCGTTGCTGCAGCCGCAGCAGCAGAGGAAGCACAGAGGAAACGCAGTTAAGCGCTTCGCTGAGTGGCGGTGTGTGTTCAAGTTGTTGTTGTACAACAAAAGAAGAACAAATATCAATCTTGAGTGGCGGTGTGTGTTCAAGTTGTTGTTGTACAACAAAAGAAGAACAAATATCAATCTTTAGGGTTAATTAAATAAATAATTGTTATTTAATTTGAATTTTACTTCAATTTAACTGCCCATACACCTCAGGGGGAAGGATAACATCAAATTCCCCGTCATTCTTGTCTCGCTTTTTCGTTCTTTATTTAGAGCCCCTCCTGCGTTGTTGATGTTTAGAATGAGTTTGTTGTGTTGGTTGTTATTAATTAAGTTTTTTACTTGTTTTGTTTTGTTTTCTGTTGTCTTTTATTAGTTGCATTTGCTGCTTCTCTTTATATTTAAATGTGCACGCCCGCCATACACGAAGACAGAAAACGCAACACACGCTTCTCGCAGTGTCAGAGTGGCTGCTGCTGCTGTCTGGTGATTGTTTTTCATTTGTTTTTGTTTGCTTCCGTTTGCTTTTGTTTGTTATTGTTTGAATTTACCCATGGGTAGATGATTATTAAAGAAGGGAGAGAGGAATAGATGTCTAAAGATGCAGCATTGTACGGTGTAAATGCGTCCGTGCATGCAGCAGAAGCGGATTTACTTATTATTATTATTATTATTATTATTAATGCTTATGTCTTACAACCCAAGTTAAGAGATAATATATATATATATATATATCCATATATATATAATCCTTTTCTTTCCTTCCCTTTATTTCTATCGTGGGGCCTTCTGCTGTGTTGCAACGCAGTGCGGGGAGTTTAGAGGCATTGTTTGTAGGTAGCAGTTTACAATTAAAAGTAATTCTTTTAAATGCATTTTAATTTTAAAATATTTATTACCTCAGTGTAGATACGCGCATGTACACTTGTATGTATCCCTGCAAATGCGAGTGGACATTCTCTTTATCTCCATACAGATATGCACATAGACATTGATATACATATATATATATATATATTATATTTATATATATTCGTATCTATATATTTAAACTAACGCGGAAATTTACGCCGTTGTGCTGTAACGAGGTTTAGAAATAAAACACAGAAAGGAAAAAAGAAGCGAAACAAGAGGTTTTGCATGAAGAGCAAAACAAATAAATTAATAAACAAACCAACAAAACAATAAAAAACAAATAAACAAATAAACAATCAGCAGAGAATGTGCTGCAAGAGCGAGAAAAAAGAAAAAGATCTGCAGATTAACAAAAGACAGTGATATATATATATATATATACATATATATATATATATATA